ACTTTAAATTTTTAACTTAAATTTTAACTTTAACTTTTAATTCAAACTTAAGTTTTTATTCTTACGGTCAATTAATAATAACAACTTAGTTAATTATTTTTATTATGTTTGCATAGTAAATTTCATTTAACATTTTAATTTAATGTCAATAACCATTGCTTGGAAGGAATTAATTTGAATTGAACTACAAACATCCACATTAAAATTAACTCAAAAATTTCACAATTGGGAGTCCTTCCATTCCACCCCCAGAACCTGTTGTGCAGCGTCAATTTAATGAGTGGTGAATTTGGGGTTCACATAGATATTTACACAAAGATAGCATAATATAAAGCTTAAGATGGCTATTTCCAAATATAAGAAGACTAGAGACTTTTGAAACAATACTAAGAATAAGAAAGACATTGACAAGGATGATAAAAGCTTAATTCTTGCTTCTATATATATTATCTAACTAATTACTAAATGCTGACAATCTATAGAACCTTTGACACATGTCTAACTTATAGGACAAATTTTCTACATGTATGCTATATGGCTAACTTGAATTATAGGTTGCCAACATAAGCAACACGTGGCCAACTTATTTGCCAAATATTTAATCTATTAATTATCTATAAATATGTAAAAAATAAAATTTGCATTTTTGAAGCTTTTAAGAAACTTCATCATAAGATATTATTAAATTTATCTATTATTAATTATTTCTATTTAATTCTTCTTATCTAATTAATTATAATTCTTGGCTATGTCCATAATAATTAGTTGGACTATTAGGCATGTGGCTCCATAAATTAGAATAGAAATGCTTCTTTTTTTATTATAGTAGTCCTTTAGTCTTAGATGGTAATTAATCTTATCAAAGTTATTTGGAAATTTTTAAATGAAATGATGTAAATTCTTATTACTAGAGATTATTATCAATATCTTAATGTAAGATAAATTTATTCTTATAATTTAAATAATCATTATCATCTCTTCTCTTCAAGATACAACATCTTCATAATTAAGATCATTATGACCTTTGATCCCTAATATTTGAATATTATTTAGGTTAACCACAATATGAAATTTTTCCGTATTTTCAATGAAATTTTTAATTAGCTCCCTCAATATAAAGTTATAGTATAGTTCTCTTAGGTAATATGCAATCAAGTTGTTGATGTGTTTTTTTTTATAGGTTATATTATAACTTCCATATTTGTGATTGAGCAAAAATATTGTGCTTATCTATTAATATTTGAATTCAATATATAGTGATCTTAGACACAATCAACTTGCCTTCCACATCTTTGTAATCAAATCTATATTCACTTATTGGCTAATTAATTAATTTTGGTGTATATGACATTAGTAGAAAAGTAAAGAATTTTCAACTAAACTTACACAAGTAAAGAAATTTGTTTAGTAAATTATTGTAGATATAAAAAATCCATAGCATGTTTTTTGGCTACACTTGCATTTTGAGGTTGTATCTTGTATGTTTAAAGTATTGATAGATGTAAAAATTGAGACACAATTTTGGCATAGATGTATTTTTAGATATTTGCAATAACCACACTTTCCATCTACATCAATATATCCTTGTGCTTCTTCAACAATACAACTTATTAAAGTTTTATTTTGCAAGACACTCTTTATGCAATATCTTCATCTTCTTAAATGATTGGTTCATCTTTTAATTTTTTTTTTCCACGTACTTCTCTTCTATCTATTTAATACTATTCTTCTAATTATCAACATCACAAAACTTATATGAAAATTTTGCGATAATAAGCATTGCAAAGAAATAATTTTGCATCATTAAATTAAAAAAAAATATATATATATATATATATGAAAATATACCTATTAGAGAGTACTAGAAATTCCACATTTTAACCTTCATTATGTGCTTTAGAATGTAGATCTGAAATTTTCCTAGAAGACATTTACTTAAATATTGTGTTGTTCTCTTAAAAATCTCTAAATTCACATTTTTAAATATTTTTTTAAATCTATAAATAAGATAATAATAATTTTAAAAAATACAACTATTAAGAAAAATCAGGTTGTTGTATTGTTAAGTGTCACTCCATGCAATCAATTTAAGTATAGAATATACATTACAATAGCAGCTATTATGAAAATAATTATCTATTACACATTATATTCAATTCACCTAGCTATAGATTAATTAATGTAAATCAAGCTAATTCATCTAGCTATACATAAATTGGTGTGGACCACACTAATTAGAAATCCAAAATATTTTCTAATTCATGCTAGTTAGTATATTTGGTATAGCTTAATTTTTATATTATTTTATAATCCATAAAATAAAACATAATTCATATAAAATAAAACATAATTCCTACAAAATAAAAGATAAATATTATGATATCATATGTGGTTTAAAAAAATATAAGTTTAATTTGGATGGTATTATAGGATTTTTTAGTATATCTAAAAAATTGAATAATTACTTAGTATATTAAAATTTATTCTTATAGCCAAATTACAAAGAAATAAAGTAAATCTAGAAAATAAAAAATAAAAAATAAAAAATAAATCATCCATTGCATAGCAAGTAGAAGAAAAAACATTCAAAGTGAAAAAGATAAAGTCCTTTTAAATTATTTAATATTATTAGTTTATTAAAATGAAAGATTTCATAATACTTTTTTATGTGAATAAGAATAAAAATAAAAATAAAAATAAAAACTCAAGGTAATTGTAAAAACAATTGAATTTCAAATGTCAAAAAAGGTGTTTAATATGCAACAATAAATTTGATTCTTATTAAGAATCTTGTAAAATTAGATAGAATCCGTGACTCTTTTATCTATGTAGTGTAGAAATTAAAGCTAAAACAATTAGATATAAAAGAGTAATATTTACAAAATATAATATTTGTAATAGCGAAGTAGAAGTTCAAATAATAAGCTATTAAAAATCTATCTTATAATAATTTATAAGTTGTATTTAAACTCACTTTAATATAAAATTATGGAATTTTTAGAGTCAAATCTGATTGAGTTTTATTACAATCTATATTATATAAATTTTGAATTAAAATTAATTGATTAGGAGGTCTTATAAAAAGATAGATTAAACTTAAGAATTCAATTGCTTATGTGATTTAAATTTTATAAAATTATAGGATTTAAAATAATTTTAAGAGATTGTATTTTATACACATCAAGATATAATAAAAATTAGATTATTGAGATATAAGTTGATTTGTTTATTATTTAAAAACTAAATGTGAATTTAAATACAAAATTAAATTTTAAATAACTAAAGTCGTATAAATTTAATATTTTTGGTACATAATATGTATATATATATATATATATATATATATTCTTTAAAATATTTCATTACTAAATTAATTTAATAATATAATTTTAATCTAATAATTTAGTTTACAAAAAAATTAATGAATTTAAAAGAGAATTTAATACATTTTGATTGTCAACAATTGATTAATTTTAAAGTACATTTCAAATAAATAGTTGGTTGTTAGTAACTATAAAAGATGCAAACTAATTTTTGTCACAAGTACTATTTTATTGCAAGACAATAAGTAAATTAACTATAAATCTTTATAATTTTTTAAAAAAATAAAAAAATAAAAAATAACAAAGATATATATATATATATATATATATAATATTTTGATATATTTATATCTATTATTTTTATTTTCTTGTATATAATAAGTTGTTATATATAATTTCTTAGATAATTATTTTTACAACAATTTTGAATATTTTTTTTATTTGAAAGATCATTTATATTATTCTTTAAACTATTTAAAAAAATATTAATAAAAGTTTTATAATCCTAATCAAAATTACATGTAAGTTTTGTAAATTTGATCACATAAATACTAATCTAAAATAAGGCAATATCATAAATTATTTTACGATTTTTATTTTTCAGATAAAGATTCAACTTATGTTATCTTATTTATATTTTAAAAATTTTAAGTTCTAAAACATCTGTATAGAAAAAAATTGAAGAAATTTTAATGATTATATGAAATCCAAAAAAACTTCCAAACAACTATAGAAATTTCTAGCAAGTCACTATATTTCCCAAAAGAACCTCAAATTAAACAAAACAATAGTCAATCTTGGATTATTCACTTCATCAACTAAAACTATGTCATTGTGTTCTCTAAACATTGTTAACCCTTGTAAAAACTATCATCTTATGATGACAAAAATCAAAAGAAATTCTCTCTTCTTGTTCATCACTATTGCTCACAACAAAAATGAGTATTAAAAGAAACATATATATATATAGAGAGAGAGAGAGATGTTAAAATGAACCATCCTATCATAGGGAAATGAGGCTGGGATAAGAGCTAGAATCTAAGGGAGGGAAATGAGGGGTTGTGATGAAAAAGGCTCAAAACAAAGGGAGTGTGGGTTAGGAACAATGGAGGTGGGGATGAGGGCCATGATTGTAATGATGGTTTTTGGAGATTATTCATTTTTTTTAGTAATGGTTATGATGAAATGAGTCAATTTAGCAAATGGGTGGGTCATTTTATCATTTCCCTACATATGTATATGTACACACACACACACACATATATATATATATATATATATACATATATAATTGAACCTCACATTCTTTCACATATTTATGTATTAGTTTTTGAGAGAGTAAATAAATAAATTCTGCACAATAGACCATGAAGTATTGTTGAGCCAACTGTGCAACTCTACCATATTGTGACAGCTGAAGGTCATTCAGGATCCATCTTTATCTTTTCCAATAACAATAAAAAGTAATCTTTGGGGGCGTCATGGTCCATGCGTTACAGTTAAGATTGGAATAGCTGGACATTAAGCTCACACATTGCAGTGATGAAAGCAAACAGAATGACTTCGTTAACGCAATAATAATGACGAAAGCCCTGGCAACTAGTCATCGTGGCCAAGAGTGCAACAACATCATCAATACAAATATTCGAGATGAACCGAACCATTAAGCTGAAGGAACTGGTTATACCAGGCACAATGAGTCCAAGCCCTAAAAGCCTCCTCTTCCTCCAGGTCATGAAGCCAGATGTTCTCCTTTAGGTTTCATTACTGCAGCCGCGACTGAAGCTGGGTAACATCCATTTCAGCTGCTTTTCCCACTTGGGTCCATCTAGTCATGAATTTGCAGAGCTTGTGAGATTCTTCTTTGTGCCTTTTTCGTGGAGTGAGCAAGGTGGGTCAGTGAGGAAAGGTGCCTGTTTGTGAGGTGTTGGGGAAGGTTGTGAACATGAGTCGTCGAAACAAGGGGAAGACGATGAAATAGGGTATGTCTTCGATGGACGTCGCTGACACAGTAAGTGCGGAGGCTATGGCTGTTGAAGGCGAGGCGGTGACCACGCCGGAGCCACTGATCACCTCAATTCGGATTGAGGGTGACGAGGGAGTTGGGATGCCGTCTGACCATACTAGCTCAGATTATTACTTTGATTCATACGCACATTTCGGTGAGTGGTGCGAGGTTTTGTTGCTTATATCTGCATCAGAAGTGTGTGACGATCTTCCTAACTCTTTCATTCAAACAGAGAAACACACACAGACACACACAGATAGTCTGCGTTTCCTTCCTTTCTTGGTATTTTTTTTTGAATTTTTGAATTTTTCCTTTCGTAGGTGAACGTTTTGACATCCATCAGAATTCAAGGCGTGTAACTTTTAAGATTTCTGCCATCGAAAATCTGCGTCTTATGTTCAAAGCTAGGTGAAAGACTACACTTAATCTTGATATTATTTGGTCGGATCAATGACTCAGAGTGTCCTTTTGTTGTGATGATCTTGTGCAGGCATTCATGAAGTAAGTTTAGAATTCCTCTTCGTAAATTAGGGCTTTCAAAGGACCGACAGATTATTAGTTCATTATGTTTCCACATCTTGGGTTGTGTCTTGTCATGTCAAACCATGGTTTTTGACTCAACAAGTTTTCTGAAGTATTTTCTAAGGCGAGAAACCTCATGAATCCTATTGCGGACTTTATTCATGCGTTTATAATATCTGGGTCAACGCGAATCTCGAGGTTCTAGTTGATGTGACTGATTGCGGAAGCAGTTGCGGATTGTGATCGGCGTTGTTTCTTACATCACAGGAGATGTTGAAGGATACAGTGAGAACAAAGACGTATCAGAATGCCATCTATCAAAATGGTTTTTTATTCAAGGATAAAGTCGTTCTTGATGTGGGAGCGGGCACCGGTGTTCTTTCCCTTTTCTGTGCCAAGGGAGGAGCTAAGCACGTATATGCGGTGAGTTGCTTTCTACCATGTGAATGGTTCTTTTTCATAGCACATGTTCTAGCTTGCGATGTGACTGACGTAGGAAGGGGTTGGTGCTTTTCAAGTGGCTTGCTTAGTGCTCGTTGGTTTCCTTATCGCTACAGGTGGAATGCTCGACGATGGCGGATACTGCTAGGGAGATTGTGAAGGCCAACGGCTACAGCGATGGTGACTACGAATTGTGGATGCATAATTTTGTTGCAGTGTTCTTCAGTGCCTTGAAATCGAGGGTTCATGTTGAAGACGTTGATTTTGTTGGACCGGATCTTGCAGTATACTAGATATAAAGTAGTATGTTTTTTTAATCTTGTGCCTTTGCACAAGTAAAGCCCTAAACTTCCTGCTTTGTGATGGGAGGTCAGTGGTCACAGTCATCAAAGGAAAGTTGGAGGAGATCACTCTGCCAGTTGACAAAGTCGACATTATTATCTCAGAGTGGATGGGCTACTTTCTTCTTTTTGAAAACATGCTGGACACCGTACTTTATGCTCGAGACAAATGGTTGGTAAGCAAATAAAGCCTTCACTCTCTCCTTCAGTTCCGTTTGGGATAAAGATTTGTAACCATTGCTTGACCCAGCGTTTTATTCCTCTGTTTTTGTGGAATAATCTCTTATCCAATTTCCCATTTGTCAGCTTTTTGTGTAATGCATTTAGTCGCTTGAGCGTGTTTGTTGTGGAATGCCAGGTCCCTGGAGGTCTGGTTATGCCCGATAGAACTTCACTGTATCTTACTGCCATTGAAGATGCTGAATACAAACAGGAGAAAATTAACTGTGAGTAACTGGTGTAACGCTGTGTGGTCTATACAGACTCTTGCGGTGACTTGAACCCCAGACAAGTCTCGCGTTTCCTTGTCCGTTGTTTGTGTTTTTAATTAATTTAGCTCTGGTGTATTCCGTTTATTCATTGTCTCTTGATTTAGTGTACCTCACGTTTCCTTTTGATTTATTCCCCTTTTTCTAGCATGTAGAACTTCATTCACATATATATTATCGACTGGAAGACTCGGTTTTTGAACGGGGTTGTCTTTCTCTGATGCAGTTTGGGAGCAGGTTTATGGATTTGACATGAGCTGTATCAAGAAACAAGCGATGGTCGAACCTCTGGTGGATGTAGTCGATGCTAATCAGATTGTGACACATGCAACACACTTGAAGGTGCATATTATCCTTCAAATACAAGTATTCTCGGTTGTGCTTCCTTTTGAGGCGTTGACGTTTGTTCTTGCTTTCTTAATATACAAGAGCTGGGCCTCTGACTTGCCTCGTATCTGACAGACTATGGACATCAGCAAGATGAACACTGGGGATGCTTCTTTCACAGCTCGCTTCAAATTAGTGGCTACTCGAAACGATTTTATACATGCTTTGGTCGCGTACTTCGATGTTACGTTTTCAATGTGCCACAAGAGTACTGGTTTCTCGACAGGTTTGCGATCTGTCTGCTGCCTCATCTAATAACGTTGTCGACCTTAACATTCTGAACAATGGTTTTGTATCATATGTCTAACTTCTCAAAAGAATGATCCGAGTTTGTAGTATCATTAAATGAATGCGTGTTGCCTCTGAACAGGACCCAGGGCACGGCCTACACACTGGAAGCAAACTGTGATCTATCTGGAGGATGTCATCACCATCTGCGAGGGTGAGGCATTGACAGGCACAATGAGCGTCTCTCAGAACAAGAAGAATCCTCGTGACTTAGATGTGACTGTCTCATACAATTTCAACGGGAAAAGGTCGCAAGCTACAAGAACACAACATTATCGCATGCGTTGAGTGGTGTTCAGCAGGTATTCTAGTAGCCCCACAACAGAATTTTCTTCTCTCCTTGAGCTCCCTTACATTGATGTAAATTAGACTAATTTTTAACTTGCTTCTATTTTGTGAAAAGCAACAATCATTTTTTTAATATGAAAGTACAAGATCTGACTGGTGCAGAAGAGTCACTTGAATTTTTTGTGCTCTGTAATTTGGACTAGGAATTCCTTTAGTAGGTAATCTTAGTATTACCTTAGAGTTCAGTTTGAGTTCAGTTTGTGTAGAGGTCATAATTGTGTAGCACAGCCTATTCGAGGCAGTTCCAAAGTTGGTGACCAAAGATCTACTTGCGTATATTAGCATCTTCGCAGCACAATATAACAGATCGTTGGCTGTTACATCGTATGAATATATATTTTTTTAAAGAAAAAATACCTTTAAAATCAAACAATGTTGTACATGTAGAGGCCATAACAACTTATCTTCGAAGAATTGTGGATGGTCAATTGTTACTTCTTCATTTGAAATTCAACATCCTCAATAAAGTAAAGAATTATGAATTTATAGTTGTATTTGATAGAACATCATTTATAGTGATAATCCAAACCTAAAAAGTAAGAAATCTAAAGTAAATGAATATATAGTTTATTTTTAATTTTGGAGTATATATGTGGCTCATGCTATAAGCACACCCTAAGTTGTTATATACACACATTTATATTACTATATGCATATCCAAAAAATATGGAAGCTTATGATTGGTTGGATATTTTTATACGGACCCTTCTACCTGACACAACTATAGGGGTTAGGAAAGGTGGCAATTCCCCCTCCAGTCAACAGGTAGGGTCAAGGAGTAGCGCTCCTTGTAGGAATCTTTGGAGGCAGAGCCCTAGAAGAAAATTTGAAATCTATATCTTATATCAATAGTACCTTATGGAAGCAAAGATCTCAACCTCATGGACAACTTCACCAAGAAAGGATCCTTGCTCGATAATCACTTTAGTAGTTTGCAATGTTGTGCCAATTCTCATGGCAGTTTTAATGAACAATTTCAAGCTCACAACTTTGACCATTGATGATTGGTATTTGGACCTTGAATAGAGCCTAACCAACTAACAATCACCATGACTTTATCCATAATATCAAATTGCAAAGGGATCTCTAGTTGCCAAGCATTAAGCATATCATTGAGAACTTTGAAACCAACCAATTTTTTATTCATTGTTTGTTTGTGAATCTCATTCTATCTTTTTATTTATTCTAGTGAGCATGGATAAGATGTTCATTAATAGTGGCCAAGGAGGCCATTTGTTGCTAGACAAACAATTCACCTCAAATCACAAGTGGCTTCTTATCTATTGCATGTTGTCTTACATGTCATAGTTGTTGTTCTTTTAACATGTCAAAGGTAGAATTTGAGTGCTTAAATAGAGCAACACCTTGATAGAAAGCCATTCTTTTCCAGTATAGAAAACTCAATTATACTAAGAAGTACAAACATCAAATGAATTGTGATATTTTTCAATATATACATGTGTATCTACAAGAATTAGATTGTTTGTGTCTAAATATAGATATGTAGATATATGGAGATGATAATGCAACATAATTTTTTACTAAGCAATCTACGATGGATGAAGAATTATTATACCTTTGTCTTTATTTCTTCTATTCTTATGTTCCCAATCTTAATCCACATTCTCAATCCCTCTTCCATGTCCTGATCTCTCTTTCTCCATCATGCTTATCCGAGAACTCACTATTGTCTATGCGCTTCTAAAATTGATTCTCTCTTGCTTGCCAAAGAACGGATTGAGCAATATCATATCTTTAATGGACTTTTAGATAAGTTGTATAATTTTTGTAGTTTCAAGAGATAGTTCTTTTGAGCAAGAAAGTCACATGCAAGATTAACATTGGAGCTAATGTTTGAAAGAGTAGACTATTGGTTGTTCTAAAGGAAATTTTTACATTCAAACCAAATACAAATAAAATAAGAAATAAAATATGTAAAATCTCAATATAGTATTAATATAGAAGCAACAATAGTTATAAAAGTCTACAAAGTATTGCAAAACAATCATAATTAATAATCTCAAATATGATTGTAGATTTACTTTCTCAACCATGGAATAATAGAAACAAGATGTATTCCATCAAAGGTTGAAATTTTCTTAAAATGTTGATGGATGGAATAGTGTAAAACTAAAGATGTGGCATTTTTTGATTCATGAAAAATAAAAGTGGAATGTAGATTTACTTGAGGATTCCCATTTTCATATACACGAGAACAAAAAAAACATCAAGCAATGGTGTATAGCTGCAGGTTATGAGTATATTATCAAATGTTAGCTTTAGCATCCAACTTTAAATTATATCAATTCTCTGTTTACCTTACAAATGTGTACCTATGTTGTATTGTAAATACAACTACAATCTACAATGTCATGATTGAATGTTGATATCTTTGTAAGTTCCAAACAAAGCTTGAAGGTTGTCTAGAAGTCTATGAACTAAATCTTGTTATCAACATCTTAGAATTCTAAGCTTGAAGGTTTATAATTCACACTTTTAACTCTTCTTTTTATATTAGGTTGACTTGAGAAGGATTGAAGGCACTACATCTATCTTAAAAATAAAGTTTTCCACTTCTTTAAGAAAATATTCAACAGACTTTTCTAATAGCAATATTTTATCTTTCAAGCAGCTCTCGACAAAATGAGAGTCAATACACACTATGAATTTTTTAGATTTTTGACAAAATTACATCATCTTAGGGAACTAAAATCATATAAACTCTAATAAGAATATTCATTAGTAAAACAAAGAAGCTTTTGGACAAGGTCGTACCATGAGTCATGAAGCTAAATTAAATTCTTTTATACATAAGAGCTTAAACCAAGTAAAGAATTGTAAATTTTTGAGCTTTTCTCTTCAAAATAACTTCACATTGCAAAACATCTTAAGACATACAATCATTTTTACAAGATTCATGTATAGAGAGTTTATTGGTTGCTCAAGCAATAAACAAGAATTTTACACTAATACTATTTTAGAGCTTTTCTTAAGAACAATGGAAGAAATGTCAGTGGAGAATTGACCAAGTAAGGCATTGTTTGAGTTTTTGCTCTTAGGAGAGTAGAGAATGTAGGAAGTAGAGGATCTCTTCATAGAGCTCATTGTTCCCTATATTAGTAATGGCAACCTAAAAATGTCTAATCTCAATTCTTTGTTAGATAGAAAGAAGAGTTCATTGTTGTGAAGAATCATTAAAGATTCATTAAATCTTGATTGTAAGAAGGTTATGGATATTTTATACTCCTTGTTGATATTGTTGATCATGTGCTTTGCAATATAATGGTCAAGCGGATGAAGAAGCACCATAGTGAGAAATGGTGATAGCCACCACTACAACTTTTTATTGCATCTCCTTGCACCAACTCAAACACAGGCCTATTACAAAGCTAAAAGACTTTCTAAATCTTGAGGAATGCCACAATCTTTTCAATTGATAATTGAGAGCAACTCAACAATTTTATATGCAAGAAAGAGAACCACAATTATAAGAAAGTCAAAATTGAATATAATGGGCACAATTCTACAATGCCTTATTGAAATGAAAGTTTCTTATTTGTTAAATCTTAAAATCTTAAAATGATTGTAAGCCTCAACTTGAAAATACACAAAATAATTATAAATTCAATAATGAAACCAGATTCCATTATATTGTATATTTTGTCTAATCAACTATAAGAACTTTCTCACATTTGAATCAATTCTTTTTTTTTTTTTTTTTTTTGCTGTAGAAGAGTCAAAAATTATGTAGCTTGTATAAGAGTCCATTAAAAGTATGATGTTGCTCAGTCTATTCTTCGATAAGTAAAAAATGATCTCAACTAGAGGTGCATAGGTAATGTCCAATTTTTGGCCAAGCAAGATAAAAGTGGGGTTGAAAACATGGATTAAGGTTGAAAATATAGAAACAAAGGAAACAAAGATAAGGATGCAATGATTCTTCATTCATGGTGGATCAATTTAGTAAAAAATTATATTATTTTATCATTTCTCTAGATATATGTATATATATAAGTATATATATATATATATATATATATATATATTGTATTCCAAATTGATATTGTTAATAATTCAACAAGTCAATAATAAATTAATATAAAGCTTTTGATCAATAATTGGATTATATATATATATATATATACATATAGTTAGTAAAAAAATATGGTGTAGTGAAAATCACCAAAAAACCACTAGTACATCATGTAGTTTTCAAATTTTCTTTTCAAGGCTCTGCTTGGAGGTCATTGCAAAAAGTGTTGCTTCTTAATCTTGTTTGCTGACCAATCAGCAGGACTATTGAAAAGGGGGCTGCCATCCCTCTTAATCTTTCTATAATTGTGTCAAGTAAAAAGATTTGTATGAAAATATTCAATCAATCACAAGCCTCTACGTTTTTTTGGATATGCATATAGCAATATGAAGTGTATGTATAGCAACTTAGAGTGTGCTTGTAGCTTGAGCCAATATATATAAATATATATAAAAATATATATAAAGATATATATAAATATATTTATATATGTATTTTTAAGGTTTTTATTAAAAAAATATAAATCTCAAAAATGATTAAACAAAAATATATATATATATATTAAATATTTTTTTATAGTTTTTATAATAATATATGAAGGAATTCTATTTATGTTTATAAAAACAACAAATGATTCTAGATATTTTACTTGCCAAAATAAAGTTGTATTAAGAAACTAAGATCAAATGAGATTATAAGACTATCTAATATATATTAAGTGGTCCTATGGAAAAATAATGTTTTTAGAGTTGTATTTGTAATTTTTTTAAATTAAAAAATAAATATAATAGATGATAATTTTAAAATTTTATTTTAATAAAAAGATGCTTATTTTTCTTTAATTATGTAAGAAAGAGTTTCAACACAATTCTCAGCAAATTTACAATATTTTTTAGACAGTCAAGGAATTTTTTTAGAATTACTAAAGAAAAATAATCTCTAATGGTTGTGCAAGCAAAAATTATTTTTGCTCAGTAATTGGATAAAAATTGGATAGAAAACTCTTAAAAAAAAAATAAAAGATTGGTAAAATCCACCAAAAGATGCACTTTAGAGAAAGGAAGAATTATATTTGTGGTGAATGATTTATGAAGACACAC